GCGGGGCTGGCGGGATTTCAGCCCCCACTTGGGGCGGGCTGGCCTTCTCCCGCGCCAGGCGCTGGAGCTAAGCTGATTGATGAACCGCTACCTGCCTCCAGTCCGCCCGCAGCTCCCCGCCCCGTATTAATTCTTGGGTGACTCAATTATGGGTAACACTGTTAAAACATTAGCCCAACTAATGAGAAACAATTACTTAGAAAATGAGCTGGGACAAGCTCGAGCGGCGGCCAGTGGCGGCTCTGCCCGCAGATTGCGCTAATAAATCATCAGGTGCGCTGCGATGCGGGCTGCGAGGCCCCGGCCCAGGCAGATGACAGCGAGAGCTTTGTCATCGCTTTGCATAATTTTTTCATTAATCTCAATAGGACCCGTGCGGCGCAGATTGGTTTATTCCCTTAACACCGCGCCCGGGGGGAGGGGGAATCAAAACTAATGTCTTCATTGTTTTACTGGAGCCTTAATGACAATCTGTGACAGCCGCATGTCACTGTGCGGAGGCTCCGAGCAATGCGCGGGGGCGCGAGTGAAAAAGTTCAGGGCGTTTGGAAACCCAGGCCACTCCCGCCCCGTCTCAGCCCTGCAAAGCGAGCCCGCGGAAAGTCCTTCCGCACGCGAACCCCGGCACCCGCTTCTTGGAGTGACTTCAGGGCGTGCCCCGTTTCCAGACACGGAAACTAGGCAAATCGTCGCATTGGTTTCTGCGCGTGGGTGCGGGCTGGTTGCCTCCGGGCTTGTGCTGATTTTAGCCCCCGCCCCCAGGAAAATCCGGCTTCCAGTTCGCTTTTGTAGGGCTCGTCTCGTTCTGGAAAAGCCGCTTTGATTTTTCTCAGTTGACTTTGGGAAGCTTTAAGTGTTTTCCGTTTGCCTGCCTTCCTGCCTGCCTTTTTGCCCGGCTCGGAGGGCAACTGATGAAACAAAACAGATGATAAGATTAGCAGCGGGATTTTGTGCATATTAATGAGAGTGAAGGGCACCTAATGTGTTTGTGACTGTAGCGCGCTTGTGCGCGGGACCGGGAACTGCAGCAACTCCCCTGTGAGGTTTTCACGTTGGAATTAGGGGGAACGTGCAAAAGTAATTACCAGAGCACCACAGTGAAATGCCAGACGGAGCATCCATCCATCCATCCATCCATCCTTCCTTCCCCCCCTCCCAATTAGAGCGAGAGTGTTTGCTTTCCTCCCACCTTCTTCTGTTTTAAAGGGAAAACGGAAAGAGCTGGAAAATAAAGTACTTTCCAATAAGTAGGTTAGCACCTGAACGCTACCGCGCCTCTCTCTCGATTTCGTTCATTAGTTAGCGGGGCATCTGCGTCTGAAAGTCCCAGGCAGAGGCTGGGGCGGGTGAGCCAGCACACTGCGGGCAAGGGTGCCACCAAGCAGAAACGCGTCTCCCAAGCTGCCGGGTGACACTTGCAGCGGTTTTTGTCCGAGCGCTTGGGC